TGTGTGTGTGTGTGTGTGTGTGTGTGTGTGTGTGTGTGTGTGTGTGTAAGTGCACATGCCCAGATTCAGAATTTAAATTTACATCTTTGGTACCTAGCCTCAACATGTCATTTTTTTCATCCCTCTTTTCTTGTTGACAATTTGTGTGCAGAATTTTGTGGCATATTTTACTGTGCTAGAAGATCAGGAGAAGAGTGTCTTTCAGTTTTCCTCTTTGGCTTATATCACTCGAGATGGCTGGTACTGTCAGGTTGTTAGGGGGGTAAAATCTTCAAGGGAGGCTACTGTGAAAATAACACGCTTCTTTCCCTACAGTGCAGTGAAGGCCAGCAAACAGAAAATGGGCCAGGCCAACATCTGGGTTCTTTACCGGTCAAAGCTGTAGCCAATCAGACTTCACTCAGCCAGGCCACCAACGGGAACTCTTCGGCCACTGAGGAGACAGCACGCTACTTGTCACCATTCAAGGTGGCAAGGAGACGTAGACCTCTCTATTCTGGTGCAGATCGCACCTTCCCTGCCTGGGCTGCATCGAGGAGCAGCCCACCTCCAGAAGGGTTGTCTGCTCCTACGGAGGGAAGAACAAATGACTCTACAAGTATTGAGGCTCCACAGAGCCCTTCATCACCTCTCTCAAGGATAGCACAGTACTACGGTGACGGTGGTGCTGAGACTCACCATTCCACGCCCATCTTCACTGTTCCTCAGAGCTCTCTGCCAATCTCCAGAGCCGCCTCCAATGTTTTACCATTACCTAAGACAACTCACCTCTCCTTACCAGTCTCCAGCACAAGGAAGTCCTCTGTCCTAGACCCCTACTCAAAGTATAGTTCTCCAACAGACTCCACAGCAACTGATCTCTTTTCACCAGGCCCCAGTGCACCCCGTGACTCTGGGCCAGGCACTGAGGAAACATTCAGTTCTCCACCAGACTCTGGAGCAATGAACTACCCTGTTCTAACCTCCGGCACAACTCACCTCTCCGTGCCCACGTTTAGGACAAGGTACCACTTTACACCTGCCTTCACTGTAAGGTATCACTCTGTTCCCGATTCTCCTGCAATGCAAAATGCTTCCCATGACAGCCATTCTTTCTCTACCAAGCGTGAGCAAACAGAGCCTTCATTAGGCCAGGCTGGTTTCAGAGAGACAAGTCTTCCTCTATCACGCCAGCCTCTAGCAAGCCAATCTTTATCTAAAGTGCCTATAACACCAGCAACAACAAAACTATCGGCAACAAACCCTGGGTTCTCTCTCCAACCTGTAATTAGACATTCTTTGCCTACATTGAAGGGATCCAGCCAATCTGCATTTGTCCCAGATTCTGAAAACTATTCTTCATCCTTCAGCATTCTCTCAGGTTATCCGAGGTCTACCTTAGTTGAAAGAAACTCTTTTAATGTGGACCAGGATAAATCAAGTCACTCATCCACTGTCCCAACTAGTGACCTTTTACCTGTCAAAGCTGCAAGACGGTCATCCCCTCTTTCCTCTGGATCCAGTCACCTGCCCCGCACCAAAATTCTTTGGAATAAAAGCCGTGAATTAAAGCCTCATCCCCTTACTCCAAATAACTCTTTTGTAAAAGATCAATATCTACCAGCCAATGGTACAACAGATGCCTTCCGGAGTCCTCGTATCACAAGAAGTGTTTCTTTATATCCACAAGCTAAGCCAAGCTCATCTATGTTTGGTTATCCTCCACCAAGCCATTCTCCATCTATCCCAGAAGCCCCTATCAGTACCGCTACAGATACCATTATCAGGATTCTTGATTCTGACACTCCTATCTCTTCAGCGAATACCAATAATGAAACTTCTAGATCGAAAAGTCATGAAGAAGAAGCTACAAACAATGTAGTTGATTTTACTATAGTTGGAGGAAATGAGGTCACCCACAAAGAAAAGATTACAGCATTAGCTAATGCCACCCCATGGGATAAGAAAGCTAGTACCACTGCATATCATGCTACCGGTTCTGTCCTAAACCCTGAGAATTTGGCTACTGACTTCTTGAAAGATTCTACCATTGCTTTAACAGATGTCCATGACTTCTCAAATGCTGGCACGTATAAGGAAAAAAGAGAGAGACACGGCACGGATTTAGTTAATGCTGCTCCCAGTGTGGTGGAAGATAATATAATTATAATGGACAACACAGATCACCTGGAGGAAGATTTCAGAGCTTTAATGAATACCCCAGACCTTCTGGGGGAAGGTGATTTTATTGTGATTTATGTTCCTGACTGGGAAAGAGACTGTTTAACAGATGATGACCCTCTCGTCCTAAAGGAAGATGGCATAGCTGAGGTGAACACCAGGATCTTTACTAAAGGAATGCTACCCAGGACTGAACTCCCAGCTGGTATTAGAGATGCTGCTAGACCTATGAAAGATGGCATTCCTTTTAGAACACTGAGGGAAATCCCGGAAGACGTTGCTGTTCCCACAAGCAATGGAGTTACCAAAGATGTTGCCACTAACCCAACAGATGAAGCTACAAAACTTTTTCCTAAAATGTTTGTGAGGAAATCCAGTACCTCCGCAGCTAATGGTGACAACCATTTAGCTTTTACCACCATAGCTGAAAATGGCATGCCTACTGGAAATCCAGTTACTTCTGAAGTATATGATATTCCATCTTTCAGAGATTCTGAGACCCCCATACAGCAAATTATTCTCACTCAATTTAAGCCTGAAATAATTTTGCCTGAAAATGAAAATAATGCAACAGGAAATGCCCGTATTGTTCTTCTGGAAAATACCACTGCTCCTGATAAAAATGTCATGGTCTATATGACCCAACGTTGGAGTGACAATTCAGTTATTGAAAACTATACTTCTCTTCCTGAAATAAATATCACCATTCCTACAGTGAGAATTCCAAGCCTGACAAATGTGCCAACTAGACTCATTCCTGAAGTGGCTGTCTCCACGGTGGGCACTGCAGACCCTGTATTAAACAATCCCACTGCTACTCCTATGAAAGAAGCTAGAATTAAAGGATATTATACCATCACCACCATGGAAGATGACTCTACAACGGGGAAAGGACAACGGATCTCATCTGGTAGAATTATTCCCAGAAGTTCTATCATTACCCCCAGAAAAGACATCA